GTTTATGAGCACCTTACCTACTTGCCAAATCTGTCAGGGGAGGTAAGCTGATGAGAGCACCCTGTATTGTAAGTTCTATACCACGGTCAATCCCGTATTGAAAGTACTGTATATTTACAATACTAACAACAAGCTAATTGATTGCGCTATTCGGAAAATAATGACAATAAAATTATATACAACATAAACACATACAGTATATAATCATATATGTTCCCATTATAATTTAAAGACAGCCCTCAACTTGTTAACAATAATATATAATTTATCGTTGTTTTTTTCGAAAAGCACAATCAATTAACGTACAAAAAACTATTGTAGCTTACAGAGCACACATGGATAGGAAAAGGGTGACTTTTTATATGAGGGGCTGTACATTATAGCCTATTTTATTTTGCTATTTTCTACTATTCTATAACATGCACCACCTTATTTGGCAAGAGCAAATGAGCATCTACCTCCCCATCAACTTGCCCGCTTACCAAATGGTAAGCTAATGAGGGCGCCCTTATTATTCTCTGTCTGACTTTGTTTGGTGGTGATGTCATCATTATGTAGAATGAAACAAGACAGAAAATCTATGTACGATGGCATAAAAACATATTACCGTACAACTGTTATATGACGTCAATGGAGTTAAGACATTTCTTTATAGTCTTTTAGGAAATTAAGTAAATTTTAGTAACCTGCTTGCACTTTGTTTATATTTCTGCGACCCTAAGACTTGACATCTGTTGTATGTCAAATGTTCTTTTTGCACCGGAAAATTTCACTATATATAGTACTAGTTTAGGTATACTTAATACTTGGTAGAAATTTATGCGTAAACCGAACGTCTCGCACAAACAACTTTGGTTTAACAGGAGCCACTATGTATCGAGCTTCGCCTAGTTAATCTTATGACAGTATGCACATTTCCAGAGATGCTTGATTATCCCTAGCGTCCAACCAGATAAACTTGATGTTGCAAATTCTCCGAGCGAGAGGTTTGATCCACTAATACCAATCGATGGTAAGTTTGTTTAACTTTTTTATTTCAAGTACATCACTAGAATAATTGTTCATATATTCACAGTATAAAATAATAAGCTTGTACGTCCATCCACACGACTCTGACAATAAGTATCATGTCTCTTATCCTAATCTACACCTTTCATGGCCCCGCTTCCATCACAAGCGGGAGGCTGTAATCAGACTGCCCCCCTTTTCCCACTCTCAGTTCTATAGCCCGTTGACAAAGCGCCTTATAATCCTCCAACCAGCCGGTCCTACTTCTTCGCATCGCGTAAGACTTTATACCCACTGACCCTTTCTGATATTAAAGAAAGTCCTGACCACAAACACCTGTAAACCAGCCATACCAACAATCAACGCACTCTCCAACAGCGAAAACCAAAAAATTCTGTTCTCTGTACTCTTCACGGTAGATAGATTTCTGTTCTCCCTAGTCCTGAAATACTTTTGCGTCCTCCCAACGACGTTCAAACTGCCACTCAATCTGTACAGACTGTCCTCCATGTTGGTTGATATTTCAGGCGCAGATGGCCGTTGAGGGAATTCGGCACGCGGTTCATTCTCGACGGTGATCTCAAAGTCGACAAGCTTTTCTGCAAAAGTTGACATATCATTTGCAAAGCAGAAAGAGTATTCACCAACGTAATTAGCAGTAAAGATAAAATCTCCCTGACGTTCATGGTCCCCAGAAATTACTAATTGGCCTCGAGGATCGGTTACAATATAGTCTATATCGAAAGCACCGCCAGATTGGACCTGATTTGGGGGAGGAGGGGAGAAAGGATTGTTGTTGTGGTTGGATTAATAATGGCGAATTTATGGTGAAAGCAGTAACTACTTGCTTCGATTGATTATCTCTAAATTGTCAGCAAGAATGATCCAATTAAATCGATACTGGGATGGGTTTAGAAAAGTATTCGTAGACTGATAGGTAACTGTATTCGATGGCCTCGAATGTGGGGATTGTCTCGTCATCTTCATTTCTCGTTTAAATCATTTCTCATACTGATCCGCTATGTATCTCTTAAAACAATATTCTCTTCTTATACTTATGCTCCAGAGAATTATATTATTTCAATGGTTCTATCCTTGTTCCGACCTCTCTCCCACAGAGTTTACAAGCTGCCCTATTAGTCCTTTTCGAACATACCGCAAAGTAAAAGGCTATTTTCTCACCAACTTTGTCGACGTGCGCATAGAAACATGCTTTTTCGTGTGCAGCAATACTGTATGTTAAAGAAGTCGCGTTAACTATCCTGGGAAGTGTTGATAGGCACCAGGTGATTAGGAGAATTAGGAAGAATGCTGGGGAGACTGAGAATGGAGCGTGTATTCTGGGTATAAGACCTTTCATGATAGCTTAGTATTTAATGATGTATTTTTTTTCAAGTGTATTTTCGGCCAATTATGTTAGTGTTACTTTGCCAATCATAATAAAGCTTTTGATTGTAATGCACGTATGGTAATAGTAATCATACTAATATCCCATTTCTCATTGTCGAGTTACGGATAATACTATCTTGAGAGGTTATTATAGATATCACTATACTATATACTGCAAACCGCTTAGGTCTAGGCTAAAGCGGATCAAAACTGCATAGTGTAATATAATGTGTCAATCCAGATTGATTTTTACTGTATTATGTATGTTACGCAAACTTAGCAGCTTGTTAAGTTCTACCTTGCTAATTAAGGAGTCACGTTGGATTAAAGTTAAACGCTTTTTAACGTCAGTGCAATAAAAGGTAAAACTCGAATGGTTGAATTCGACTCACTGATTGTGAGAGACCAAGATTGCATATTAATATGTATGGAATACTACCATGTAAAACAATGTTTCTGCTATGAAAATCACAATGCACTAAACCCACTTCATGAATATTATCCAGATAACCTGCAATATCTATATCCCCCAAACATTCTAATTTCTTCCTCCATGACAAAAGACTATTTACCATTGTCAGCATATTGCATAACAATCATGTTACTTATTTGTTTGTGTGACTCATAAAGGTGAAGGAAATTATAGGCTGAACACTTGACATGATTCAGAACTATTAATAAACATAAATACAGAGTCAGATTAAATATCGCGTGTTAGTTAATACTACAAATTAAATGAGACACGAAAGCCGTAGACTTTGCTGAAATGGCACAGTATCTCCCAATATTGAAATAGTATCAGTTAACCAGATAGCAAGAGCAAAAGACCTCCCATGTCTTTCGCAGACTTTGTTGAGAAGTAGGATTAAAGTTATGCGCGACAAAGAGTCGCAAATATGGCGGCATGTCAGTATATTTGGGAGACAAGCAAACGACTTCGCATTCATTTTCTTAAAGTTACTAACCTTCATTCTGTTTAGGATCTTTCAATCTGCAAACAACATTATATCCAGACTGTTTCTGCTAACAAATTTTGCCAATGTCTAACAATAATAGGTTCTATTAAAAGACTACCGATAAAGATGATTTAACCATTCCGCTAATCAGTCTGATATTAAAGTTAGCGTATAGTAAACTGGAAAATAACTGATCTCCACGATCAATTAACATAGATGTAGCATCTAGAGGATCAGAAGGAAATAGATGGTTTAACGGAACGATTACAGAAGGCGTTTGATAATGCGATTACAATTCGCAGTTTGTATAAAGCGCAATGTTTTAAACAGTGGGATTTATGATATTGTAGTTAGCACAAGCAGTATTACTTATTCGTATGATAATATCGATTCTTGGTCGAAGATAATAGTAGGTTCCTTAGAGTTATCTCACCAACATTTTTACTTCGCTACTAATGTTGCATTTTATTTGATAGGAATCGAAAGTAATTAATAAAATCTGCGTCTACGATGCACATCGTCAATGGAATTGGGTATTTTCTATTCATCTGCTATTCATTGTCACCAACGTTCGTGTTTGTTTCAAGGATCTGGACTGGATTATCAACAATTCACCTGCATTCCTACTGACATTGCTATGGTATATGTGTAGATAATAATTACTCTAATATGATATATGACGTTCTAGCGACTTTGCGACGTATTAGTATAGTTGTATCGATGAATTTCACATATATTGATATTTTATACACACGTCAACGATCCCGGGTACAATTGAGAAGTTTCATGTAGTCTTATTATTATTATTATACCTGAGTACATTTAGTTTACACGATACTAATTATGTTGAAAAAATGTGCTCGCAAGCATGACATTAAACCGTTTTTATTACTTGACATGTCGATCGTAACTACACTCTTGCAAGCGACGGTTCATCGCAGTATCTAATAAGAAGCTAGAGTTTACTAATGTACGTAAACCAATGATACGTTAAAATTGTTCAAAATACCCCTCTACATCACATTGTACATATCCAGTCAATCAAGGTGTTTTAGGTATACCCAAGGTACTGTATTCAGTGGTCTACGGGTACAAAACCAGCTCAATGTATTGAAAAATCGTCACTCTGAAATATGCACTAAAAGCCAGAAAGTAGAACTACTTTTAATTAAATTTTTATTAAAATATTAGTGGGGGCTGCAAGTTTTAAATCCAATAGTTGTAAACATTGGGTTGATTTTGTGAGTCACTCACTGTATATTATTTAATATTAACAAAGTCAAAAATTTAAAATAGAAGCCAGATGCGCTGCGGTCTTCGCAGAGAATCGGCACGTGAAACGAGAACTTAAAAGTTAATCATTGTGACAAAATTTTGCTTATGGACTTCGTGGTATTGCCACAACAGCTTAAGGATAGTGAGAACTATATTTATTTACATAAAATAAAGTATGGACAAGTCTTAATAAATTTAGTCGGATGGGTTCAAAAATTGCATCAACTTCAATCATGACAAATGAGACAATATAAATTAATTATTGGCGAATAAACTGTTAGCAAAATTAATTGTCGGTGAAATGAACCAAACGCCATAGCTTAATATGGGAGGCAATCATTTCGTCGACAATCATTTCACCGACAAATCTTCACCAACATTATTTCGAAGTTATCCTTTTTTGGTAGTTAATTGTCGGTGAAATGTACTGTCGATGAAATGATTGTCGATGAAATAATACGGACCCCTTAATATTAATACATTTACGTTATACTAAAAGGAAACTGTTATCATAACAAATCTAAATTTATATCAATAAGACGTAATGCTGTCGATTTTATTATGTCAAGCTGCCCGACATCTGACGCAAATAAAATTCTAGTTTCCATCAGAGTTGTTGGCATGTTTTAAGTAAAAGAATATTGCTAATTATGTAAGCGATGAAAATTCATCTCGGACTTTTCATGATAGATGAATTTATTGTGTGCAGATTAAAATAAAATCGAATTAAAATGAAATTTGGGGTCTTCTTTTAACGCCTCTGAAACCCACATATTAATATGCTCTCATATTAACAACATTACCTTAAATCCTAACCCAACCCCCCCCCCCCCAATATTTTTATATTAAATCAGAGAAATTTTTATTTTTAATCCGATTTCGCTCTAATTATAATCTGTCATATTTATTAATGTTCTGGTGGGACGCAACCCCCAAGATCGGAACGGGGCTTAGTTATTAGTCCAGATCCATGGCATTGTGCAACATCCGGGTTGTGTATCTGATTTGAGCTGCGTACAAGGAGTGTTTCATGATGCAAGCACAACAAACTGATGGTATACTAAATAAACTGAGGTGTTGTATTTCTAGAGTATGCATGAATAATTTTAAATTACTAGAACTTTATTTACACCCAACGATTCTATCAAAGTAACTAACCAATTGTAACCCCAATATGACTTCTACTATCTCTGTGAATGAAAATTCTGTAGAAGTTTTTCAAAATGCTGATGCACAGACTTATCTTGGTTGGTGTTATGAAAGTGGAACAGGAGTAGAAAAGGATGAAAAAAAGGCAGTTGAATGGTATCAAAAAGCTGCTGAACAAGGACATGCCAATGCTCAATATATTCTTGCTGTATGTTATAATAATGGAACTGGAGTAGAAAAAGATGAACAAAAGGCAGTTGAATGGTATCAAAAAGCAGTTGAATGGTACCAAAAAGCAGCTGATCAAGGATATCCTCAAGCACAAACTAATCTTGGTTGGTGTTATGAAAGTGGAACTGGAGTAGAAAAAGATGAACAAAAGGCAGTTGAATGGTACCAAAAAGCAGCTGATCAAGGATATCCTCAAGCACAAAAGAATCTTGGTTGGTATTATCGACTTGGAACTGGAGTAGAAAAAGATGAACAAAAGGCAGTTGAATGGTACCAAAAAGCTGCTGAACAGGGATATGCCAATGCTCAATATAGTCTTGCTGTATGTTATGATAAGGGAACTGGAGTAGAAAAAGATGAAACAAAAGCAGTTGAATGGTACCAAAAAGCAGCTGAACAGGGAGATGCTGATGCACAAAACAATCTTGGTGAGTGTTATCGATGTGGAACTGGCATAGAAATAAATTATCAAAAAGCTGTTGAATTATATCAAAAAGCAGCTGAGCAAGGCCATGCATATGGACAATATGGTCTTGGTTATTGTTATGAAAATGGAGTTGGAGTAGAAAAAAATGAACGAAAAGCAATTAAGCTATATGAAAAGGCTGCTGAACAAGGATTTGTTAAGGCAAAAAATAAAATTTATATTTTACAATATGATGATAGATCTAAGTTAAAAAGAAAAGTTCAAGAATTAAATGAGTTGTATCAAAGCAAACCCTTAGCAAAACGTTATAAACGTTGAATTTTAATAATTTAACCACTTGTGTTTGAGGGTTCTAGTTCATTAGTCTCACCGTACACAGATTATATCATAAAGAACAACTCATATAACAACCACATATTTTTACTCATTGTGATTATTATTTCATTCTCTCATGGAAACCATGGAGATGAAGCAAAGTACAGTTGTAAGAAGATATATGATGTATTGATTATATAGCATTTTCTTTAAGAGAATATTCTTTATTTACAACAGTCGTTGTCAATAATAATAGGGTCTTTTCCAACTTTTGTTATTTTAGTGTCGATTTGTTAACTATTAGTGTTAGCATAAAAATAGAAGTATTAATATTGATATTTATCCATTTTTCGATTGAGCATAAATTCTGTATGGTTGTTTCCGTATTTTTTCTAATTCCAAGTTGGGTTTAATTTTCACGGACATATCTGCTTCTATTTGTCACGTAATAGTAAGTGGTTTCTTTTTCAACCGAGACAATTTGCGATGGAATAAATTTATTTCAAATACAAATAATCGGAATTTTTATTATAAAATTAATGCAATCGAACAAAAAACTGGTCAACAAACCTATAAATGGAAATAATTTATCCACAGTTGTATTGTATTTGAGTGTTCAAATCCCTAAACTATTATAAGTATTGTCAGATAGAAGGAATAGATACTATTACATAAAAATTCGGGTCTTGCTATTCCTGATAATCAACTTATTATAGGCAAACAGGCCACATATACGCGTAAATTACATCTTTATTGGTAACCTACAATTGAACGTTAAAAAATGTCGAAAATTTGAACTTACGCTTACATGCAAAGCACAGATCTCTTTCCGATGTCTACTGCCAGTTTAGCGTTTGTACAATATCAGTTGGCTATTCTGACTGTACGCATACTCAAAACTAATTTTTGGACTACCTCGCCTATTGATATATTATGTGTTATGAAGAATAAATTTTCTGCCTTTGCGCGTAAATAGGTCTTGCCAAAGAGAAAAAAACTGGCTAGCCGCGAGAACACAACAATCGCAAAAATTATAATCAATGGAATGCGCTTTTACAAAAAAACACACAAAACACTATAACTTGCTATTATCTATGTCCCAACCGAATTCAAACTGTGATTGCTGCGTTACTAAACATTGGCACTTACTTTAAATGATAAAATTTTTTCTGATTTAAATAATGGGTTTCAATATCTTAGAAATAAAAGCGTCTCCCCCCTTCCCCATGCGCATTTAAAATTGCAAGTTCTCTTCATGCAATATGATAATTTTAAATAAACCGTTTACGTCGTACGCCAAATCATAATTTGTTGCGCTTTGAGACCGTGAAGCCCATCTTACAATAAATGGTTTGCGTCTATTCACAGATGCAATAATTTTATGTAAAAATTTTTTTAAAACGTAAACGCCTGCCCTGAAAGACAATAAACCAGAAATTTCATGACAAATGGTCTGGGCGTTTTCACTTATAGCCTGATGTATTGAGTTTTGGACAGACAATAAGTTTGCTTGGAAATAATATACAATCAGGGTACTCATGCGTTTTACTGATAAACACTTCGCGTCATTAAGATTTCAATCCGGGTTGGTGTTAGTTTAACCCATACGAGAATGTAATTTTATGTTTAGCAACATAATTACTATTGTAAATACAATTCAACAAAACTTGTAACACATGTTAATATACAACCATCGATTTATTACTTCAATAAACTAATTAATTTTACACTTTATTTCAATAAAATAATCGATTTCATACTTTTTTTTCTCGACTTGAAACCTTTTCTTTATTATTTATCAAGTGCTCTTCAATATTGTATTAACCCTCTCAACCTGTAAATACAATAAGCGTCAGAATGTTCTCGCTTTTCGTTGAAACAACCTGAAGAGTTAGATCCAAGTTAATCTTCTAAACCACATTTCAACCCCCCAACCTGCAACTCACAAGCAAAGGAAATTCTGGATCCTGGAGTATGTTAATCATCCACTCCTTCAGTATAGCATCGTGAATTGGGTAACTTGGTGAGGACAATCCAGTATGGGACGAGATGGAGGCTGAGGAATACAGAGCAGAATTTTGAGAGTTTTGGGGTAGAGATTGGACAACTTGTTGTTGTAACTGTGGCAATTGTTGTTGTAACTGTTGTTGCTGCTGGTTAATTCCATGATTGTATCGTCCATATTCATTTATTTGTCTCTCACTATCCAAGACATCGTCACCCTCATCGTCACTAATCAAATCAATAACGCTTTGCCACCCAACAGTTGTTCCTCCTTGTCTTTCTTCCTCCGTCTTTACACGTCTATTATCCTCTGGTATACAGCGTAATAAACCTAAAGAACGAGATAAGTGATCTGTATGCATGGATTGATAACTAGGGGCACAGAGGCAGACAGCATTTGACATGGTGTGTGATTTGGTTGATACTGAGGGTTGATAACGATCGTAAGTTGTGTGATTGTCATGACAAGCAAACGAAAATGGGTTTGTGGTCGTAGCTGTTTGTCGTTGGTTCTTTATAATACCGACTTGCGGTTCTTCAGGCGTGGCATTTGATGATACGGCAATATTGTAGCTATGATTTGCCAGCGGTAAAGATATCTGAGAGGCGGGAGGTTGTTTTTCATTATTCAACTGAGCGAATGATGCAGGGAGAGAGATATTCGACTGCGGTATGTAGTTGTGGTTGTCTGTTATGTTTTGAGTGTTTGATTTGATGGGCAAATGGACCGTGGGTCGATTTTTTGTCATGTTCGCTTCGCTCTTTATTCCTTGTTCATTAGATGCTAAGAAATTAGATGTGGGCTGCATCGTAGCTGTAAATTGTGGTTTGGTGTTGTTCTTTTGCGATAAGGACTGGTCATTTGATCGTATAAACTTGCAATTGATATATCTCGAGACTATTCTCCCGCATTCTATATAGTCATCCGTATCAATAAATTTTACTTGAAATTTACGCTGTTGCTAAGACAAAACGAAAGAGATATTTGAATGGTTAACGTGATAAATTATAATTTTTTTATCAAATTTCTTAGTTACCAACGAGTTTTGATAATTTTGGTGGTATTTTAATCCAAATACGGGATATTTCATTAACGCGCGTGGGTTCAACGTGCTATACGACAGGTTGACGCATTCCTATTGTAGTTGAAATGTAAAAAACAATACATCAGTTTTCGCGTCCCAAGATTTGTTATGGCCACAATTCTGTTAATATTTACTAATTCGTCATTACGCCTTGTAATCTTGAGCAGTGGCTCTCCGGTGGATCGAGCAAGTGCGTCGGATGAATACATATTTTCGAGAACGATGAACATATCTGCATCGTTGTTATGCGTCCATTGAGATGAGTTGACAGCAAACGAGTACCTGACTATTAAATATTTATGATATCCAAGAGATGTCATTATATAGGCGATTTGTATACGCGTAAAAATCCAGTTTAGCAAATAAACGGTGTGCACACCCCTGCAAAGCTAAGTTTCAGGGGTAATAAGCCGCCGTGACTTTTTACTCTCCACGGCTATGTTTGCTATGCGCCGTATAAGTCAATCAATATAAAGGTAAATCATGACATTTTAAGAGCGCCCTTTGAAAAATTGAATTTGCCGCTGTTGTGCTTTTCACATGGTTCAGCCAAGAGTTTTCTATTGGAACGAATTAAATTTCTCTACGCTATTGGTCAAACATGTCGACTTTACCCTTCACCCTCACCCTCACCCTCCGAGAAGTTTGATAACAGAGTCTTAATGTCCTTGTTCAATCTCACCGCGACGGTGCTTTAACCAATGTAAGAATTCCTTTTAGTTATATGATGGTGGTAATAGCACTTATTATCATAGCTAATCTAGGATGTTGTTATTGTGAGGTAACATAACCTTATTGAGAAAAACAACGTAAACACCAATATATGGACGTAGTTGTACTATTGGTATGCCATTTTATGAAGCCCGCTCATTGGCTACTCTATTGAACCTCAACAGAAGGGTTTCACGTAAATGAAACAGAATGCTTCAAGTTGACATTCTCTACATTTGCCTTGCGCTATAAATCATGATAACCAAAGAAGCTTACTAAGCTGGCTCTGGAGATGAATGACATGAGGCTTAATTTGCAGTTTCAGATAAAAGAGGTTTTAGCTTTCACGTTTTACTATCCTCATTGTCATGAAGGTCTTTGATTACGAAATTTTTGTATTATTATATCGTATCTGCAATTAAGGTTAGTTTGAACCGAATGCTTATTTAAGTTTGACACAGGATGGTCTGTACATATTAAACTAAATTAAGTTTGTTTTTAACAACGTTAACCTTTACTTTGAGTTTTGCGTTCCTTTATTAGTTGCACCTACGTACGATTGAACGCTAAAGGTGCACGTAACCTTTACTTTGAGGACATAATCTTATTCACGGTTTGCCCACCACCACCAGTCCTGATAATTGACAGAAATTCGCAATATCAGTTTGCAGTCTATTACTGGACTTTCACAAAGAATTTGTTATTGTAATAATAATTTCGTGCTACTTTTATTAATTGTACATACAGCGCATTGTAGCCGAGAGCTCTTTTTTTACGTTTGGTAATAATTTTAACAATCTACATTACAAGTGGCCTCGTGGTTAGTAACCGGTATATCAGTAATCGCCGTATTTAGTATGCCCCGGAACGATTATAACAAAGAAGGCTAAAGACTAAACTAATCGACGCCCAAAAAAAGATGCAACGAAATCATATTGTTTTGTATAATAATAACAATAATAATAATAATAATAATAATAACGATAATAATACTAACATGCGGTATTCTCACGTGATAACAACAACACATTTACGGCAAACGGCGTTTAATTGATGTAAAATATAGAATAATAATATGCTAATTGCAAATATGTTAATGCTGTTACCATTGTTTGCGTTGATCAGAAAATATAATATCTATTCTATTCCACTATTTCTCCATGAGCGTAAACAAATGAAAGTCCATTCACCAGTAGTTGCACTTCCTTATTGTATACACACCATTTTTGTCATAGTCTGCAAACAGCAAAACTGTCCCATATGTTGTGTTTCTTCAACTCTGACCGATTTCCCATACTCTTCCGCAACACGGATTACTCGTTACGCATGCCAGCAGCAAATAACTCGCAAACGAACCAACCATGCCCATCAATAATGTTGGAAGCATCTATTTATAATATCTGTCCAATTGGTTTATTCCTTACGCATTCACTCCGAGCTCCTTGCTGCATCTTTTTCTTACTGGCCCTTTCACAAAAAGTTTCCTGAATTTTCGACCAAAATAATTCAATCGGGAAATAATCACAAAAAAAGACACACTATATCTATATTGTAGCATAATAGCCATCGCTCCTCTAACCTGCAGAAAAAAAACTACGCACTACATACAATTCACAACTTTGCATTTGACACATTCACTCTCACCCCAATTCATACTCTTTATACCCCGCTCGATTTCAACAATGAGCACTGGAAAACAAGAAAGTAAACCAAGACCAGCCTCTCTTCCAATAATAGGCCCTCCGCAATACACAGCGATTGACCCCGAGGGAAATGCGATAAACAGAACTTTTACAATAGCTTCACCGGGTTCACCTACACCACGTAGATTTTATAAGAAGCCCTCGAAACCACGAGACTTTGCTACTAGCGCAAAGAGAAGACAGAGCGTTTTAGCTTTGGGAAGCATAACTCACTTGCAGCATTTCTATGCAAAGAAAGGAATTATCATACAGCCAAAGAAAGCAAAGCAGCAGTAAGTAAATGGGTGAGACAGTTTACGTGCATTAGTGAAAGAGAATGAAAGAACAGAGTAGGGAAAATAATAGAGTGCGAGAAGAAATGAAAAAAAAAAAGAGCAAGGCAGTAGAATTGGTCTCGGATCTACAAGTATAACGGCCAGGAGCAAAAACAGGACAGCATGAAATTCCAACAGATTATGACACAGTAGACATACATTTGGAATTAGCCCTATTCCCCATATTTTCATACATACTTTTCGCAAATCTAATTTATACCTGCTTCCCATTTCCTCCCCATCACAGAACAGAGAATCATTTACAAATAAACGTAACAGATTTACTACAAGTAACCGAAGAACCCGAAGACTTTCCCCCAACCCCTATGCCTCCATCGCCACCCCCGCTTCCAGCATTTTTGACCACAAAGCTCGATGTCGAAACAGATCCCGAAGTGCTCCTTGCACAAAGTCACATTGACATCCACGAAATGCTTAACGCATGGCATATAGTCACTGGCGATGCGCAGGAAGACGAGAACTCGGTCCTCGTTGACATTCTCGCCGTTATGGAGACTACCACAAAGGCCATCCAATCTGTCAAGAACTATTCGATGCACAAGGAAGACCTATCGCCTGAAGCACTGAGTAAGATCAGAGCAGCTACTTTAGATGTGTTGGATATGCTCGACAAAATAGAGAAAACTTATCGGGAAGAAGATGACAGTAGTTCGGAAGACGGACATATTTATAAAGAGTCGTATTATAGATCGCTAGATACAGAGCGGCAAACTTTGAGAAAGTATTTAAAGATGGTGGAAGAATACTTGTTGTTCAATCATGAAGAGACGTATGAAGATGGACTAGGAAGTGAGGAAAAGAGAGACAGTGGTATTGCTGCTTTGACTCCGCCTGCGTCGCCTGGGTATCAGTCTTGGGATTGGGTTAATCCAGAGTTGTTTAAAGATGAGAGCATTGGTAGGTTGGTTTAGTTAATGTGGACTTGTTCTTTGTGAGTTGTTTTTGTTAACGTGGCTTTGTTCTCTTTTATAGCTCGATATCATTCTTTCCTCGAAACACATCGCCCATCCAAATCCAAGCACATGCCGAATTATACTCCACTTCCTGATCCTCGCACTGACAAGACCGAGTTTCTGGCCGCTTTATCGTAAGTATTGCATTGGTATTTTCTCACCATTGTATATAATTAATCCGTGCTGTAATTTAATTCCTCATAGAGATGGCAAGTTACTTTGTACCATTTACAACACGGTTGTACGAAGATCAAAAAGGCCATTTGGATTCATCGAAAAGATTCATGACAATACCTCACGAACTTATCGTGCTTCTGAGAATTTAAAGTTTTTTGCCGCGTAAGTATTTGCAAACGTTTATGGCGGGACAGGCGTTCTCAGAAGCCACATTACTAATAGCAGGCTTTCATCATTAGTGCTTGTAAATTTCGATTTGATATAAAATTTGAAGCGTTTGATACGTTAGCAATCGTAAAGATGACGGACATTGGACGAATTCATGTAAGTGGATTTTCGGTATATGTTTAGAATGGTTTACAAGCTGGCGTGCGCAGGAGATGCCTCCTGTACTATCCGAGAATCTCGCCACACTTTCACGTTATTCTAAACCAAATTTTCTATTCCAGCTCGAGGAAGCAATCAAAGCATTCTGCGAGAAAGCAATGGATGAACTCATAACCACCGGTGCCTACAAATCTTCACCGTTGTCGCGTGTATCATCTATATATCTCCTAGACTCGGCGGCATCATCGCGTACTAGCGTGTCTCTCAATTATAGTCCCAGTGAAAACGAGCTAACGAATGTGTTTGCATCTTCGATGCATATCAGGGACGAATCGACGCAGTAATATAACGAGTATTGAAGATTTTAATTTATTGTTAAAAGAAAAAAGACCGTGTTTATTGACTTTTGCGATCATTTTTATTTATTTGATTAGAGTTTTCGTTGGTTTTTTTTTTAAAGTTTAATAACGGGGTTTGCATTTATTCATTTTAATATACATTCTAATATAATTATCTTATATAACGTTCGCTGGTCGATCATCAAAAATCCTAATTATATACATACGTATTTGATGATTTTATGGTTGTTCAATTATCATCATTGACTGTACATTGAAAATAAACAGCATGTCATTTACAAATTGCATTTCAATGTTAATTAATGCATACGATTTTCGATCGACGAATAGTTGCCAAGCATTTAAATCTACGTCAGACAGAACGTTTATCCGCAGACTTTCTTCATTACTGCGGTGTTACAAATACGTACAAAACATTACGTAGTCGTTGCAACCATATTAGGGAGATGATCTATACTATAAATTGGGTTTTCCCAAGACGGCATGTATGTTATGTATATGTGTTGCTATTTCAGACCTGATTTACTCGATCATTAAAGGTAAGCAAAAGGGATACCTTCTTTGTTAAAACTTACCAGAGAAACGACTACTTCTTTTGTTTTATGTGTTACCCTAATCGGATAATTGGGACATCCCGAAGCATTGAATTTCCGATGTTTAATTAAATTGTTTCATGGGCGTATTGATTTGTCAGATGGCTGATGGCTAGCATTTTATATATATTAAATGTTCCCACCACCTAACTGCTTTTCCCTGTCTCCTCCTATTTCGGAAATTGGAAAAAACCCCCAAAAAGAACATAAATCTGGTTACTCTTTACAGAATACATCATGCCACACAACTTGTTGAACAAACCAGCACCAGCAGACATCGTCCTCCAAAACCAAAATGGCGAGGAAGTAAACTTGAGTTCGTTTATCGGAAGTCGACCTACAATTGTATTCTTTTATCCTAAAGATGAAACGTCAGGATGCACCAAGGAGGTATTTATATACATTTATACATATTTAGTATTTCACATGCCTCTCAACTATGTTGCGTCTCTTTGTTTATTCGGTCTTTTTGCGTGTCATTCTACGTAGGTCTGTTCGTTCCGTGATTCTTACAACGTATTCAGCGACGCTGGGGCAGTAGTAGTTGGCATATCAGCTGATCCTATCTCAAGTCATAAAAGATTTTCCGACACAAATCGGCTAAATTTTCCTCTCCTCTCCGATGCCGACGGGGTTGCAAGAAAGGCATTCCAAGTTTCTAAGAGTTTATTCGGAATGATCGCAGGACGTGTCACTTATCTCATAGACAGGGAAGGAATCATACGCCAAGTATTCAACTCTCAGACTGATATCGAGGGGCATGTGAAAAAAAGTTTGGAATTTGTGGCAGAACAATGTGAAACTGAGTGACATGTCAATGTTTTTATGAAATAAAAAGTTTATTATTATTATTATTATATTAAATTTGATTTCCCACTCCTTGCTATTGTATTAACGTTAATACTAATACAGACCGAGATTTTTTAAGAATCTCCATGTGAAACTTGACGTGTTCTTGATGCTACTACTGTCTTGAGAAAAGCACGCGATGCTATTTGTTTGTTGGGCAACACAACTTACTTGAGAGTATGATTACTTCTTAAATGATGTAGGGGTGGGGGGGGGTTGATTACCAGCATGTCAAATTTTCGAATGACGACGAAATCATACTCGCGAATCGCACATTTAAATTTGTCATGCAAAAAAAGTGGGAGGGCAAACACATTTTTAGGTCGCATCAGAGACAGAACCTCCGAGCTTTGCAAGCCAACATCCAAGTGATGACGAATTCGCATTTGTATCGTCATTCATCATTTTAAACCATTTGTTCCACAGCGAGACGTTTTTTCTTCGAGACATAGTATCCTCTACGTGGTTGGGACAGCACCGGATTCAGAACGGTAGGTTTGCCACAATCAGAGCAAGGAACACGTCCTAGACTTTTATAATGAAAGCAATAACCTTTGGGACGCGAGCAAAGTTTTAGTTTAGATATTTTGCTTATACAAACTGATATAACAACCAAACAATTCAAAATGGTCAACCGCCGATATCAAATCAGCATTACTTGATGTAATCACGGCTGCGTACAGCCAAAATGACAGATTAAACGCATTATATGTAGGAAAACAACGCGCACAAATAAGGAAGCCTATAACGAATTGGTAGGATATAACGAAGGAGACGGTGCAGACACTTTTCTTCGTTATATGGAGGGATTCGGTATATCCAGGTTTCATATATTAACATATTAATATGGCAATGCACCTTGATATATAAAGAAGTTTTGTTATATCTTTATTGTACAATATTTACAAACTCAAATTCATCAAATGTTGTTTGACGCGCCAATTTTGTGATATTGTTCTTCTCAATTTAGTCAAGCATCCAACAGACAATTCGATATTTATAGTTTTCTACGCTTATTGGATCATCTGTCGGAATGAGATCATTCGGAGAGCACTTGACAGCTCCATTCAGAATTAAGTAGAAAATACAACCCGTTTGACAATAGCATAGTAGACGATGTCACATCTCGACAAGAAATTGTTCAGAATTTAATTTAAAATAACTCATGTTAATTAATGTCTTCCCACTGTTTGACTAGAGATGCTGTAGTAATGTAGGGATAGATTACAATGAGCTGAAAGTCTTTCGTTCATTGAAAAGTTACAGCCAAAAGCAATCTAGAATAGTTTTATTTTTTAGTAATTAGTTTGACTTATTCTTTTCATGCACATTTTGTGTTTATTTTGCTGTTTAATAAAACATTGTTTATGAAAACCTCAATATACCGAATATTGCTTGATTTTAGGCTTCGGTATAACGGGGTTCGACTGTAATCGTTCAGTCAATATTTTCCTAACAATGCGCGTTTAGTCTTAGCTCGTATATGATTTATTTATACACAATTCATTACATTCGCCTGAGCCTTTATTAGTTATTACAATTGTCGGGAATAATGTAAAGAACAATTAGGGTCATTATAGATTTTCTTAAAAATAGCTTTGGGTGAGGGAGGATATTTTCTTGACAAAGAACGTTCGAACTTTAATAACAATTATGTTTGCTCAAATAACTGTTGATAAAGTAGCTCGTACCCTCAACACCTGGTTTTTTATCTCCTGAAATGCGAGATAAAACAAGTGCAATCTCTTTCGCATGACTGATATTTCTTCATCTGTTTTTTACTTCTGACTTTATTCTGACGATAATCGAATATATCTTTCAGCTAAAACATCTTTTATTACTCCAATTTATCATTTTTCGAAGCCAGCACATTCTTTCAATGCTCCAATACGTTATTTAAATCCGATAATTCAGCCCTGAGAGGATCAATCTTGGATAAGTCAGATGACTTGAAGCTTTACTTCCTCCTTCAGGGGCGAGTGCTTCTGAGCGGAAGATATTTTTATCTCCAATGATTTTATCTTTGAAGAGTTTTAAATTTTGTGCGAATCCCGGCCTTGGATTCTTTAAGGGAAATATCTTGGGAATGCCTTACCAAAAAATGCTTGTTATAATAAAGTGATGAATACTGACTGACACATTACGTTAGCAAACTTTGCCAAATAAACAATCAATGGCACATTTCTGTTTAGGATAAAAAGACATAATATCTTTTCTGTCAGATTAGAATAAACTTGACACTATAAAGTACGTCTTTTTTCAGTCGGATAAGGGTATTGATAATCAAAACGTTTGATTTTCCAAGGACCCGATCCTGGCCGAGTAACTGCCTATTTGCTTAGAAGGGTGAGTATAACTTGATATCACTCCATAAGCGTCACATTTCCATAAAAAGGTCGCCGAACCTTCGGCATGTCCGAACGTTATCTGATACAATCACTAGAGTAGAACTAGGTCAGCGAACGAACAAATCGTTCCTTTTTTTTTTTTTTATGCTGATAATTTCAAATCGAATATTCTGCTTAAATTAAGAATATTTGCTTTAGGGGGTGAGAAATAGTATGTTCTGGCCCGTAGCAAAGTAGGCACATTGTCTAATACCAAAAACCAATAATAAGCGACATCTAATCATTATTATTTATGTGATAATAACCAAATAAAATGTGCTTATTTCGAATTTGATTTTCATACAAGGGGGTAGGCTCAACACAACCCATGTCACTAATAACAACCGAAAGTAGTTTTTTAACTCTCATCACATGCAGACAGTAATAAAGTTGATTGTACGCGCGTTCACTCAGAACATTGTTCTTATTCAATTGTCCCTTACTGCAAGAAAACGCGAAATCTCCACCTTTTTTGATTGCCAAATTCAGCACATCGCCAGGCTTACTTTGTATTCTCGAGGGAGTGTACATGTGAGTTCATGTGATTACAGCAAACGCTCTTTCGTTCAATTTGAGGATATCCCGATATTAAAGTTACGAGACTACCAAATTTTGCAGCACACCCAACAATATAATCCAATAAACTGACGCATCTGGAAAAAAAAAAGCAGATAAATGAATATGATGCAATCGTGCTTATTATCAGTGCACAAGGTGTCGATCGATTTTTCAGATTGTTATGAGCATTGTACGAAATGACGTTCCCCCTTCAAAATTCCAAGCTTTCCCGTTGACATAGTAGCGGGGCCGAACGCTGTGTCATATAAATCTCCAAACTAGTTTAATGTCGCAATATTGAACGGTTACTGTTTATTATTCCGTATTTTATTGTAATTAGTCTCTACGTGCTTACACAGTATTCTCTAAACAGAGATGTTGCGTCAGTTGTGCATTTTCCTACAATTTTGTAAATGCGAAATGAGATAATAAATCAAAAGTGAAACACTTTCTTGCCGACCTTTTATGGTCGTACAGCATGTTCTGCCATTCATAAAATCATCGTTGTTTATAACTAACGCAAATAAGTTAATTTGGACTAGTGTATAAAAGTGTCGTAAATGATATTTCGAATTGAAATGTGATATTATACCTACATATTACATTCAACGCATTCTTTTTACATTGCCGTAAATTTGCTTTTTGATAATTAATAATGACATTCTCTGACGAGATTCAACAGAAACATATTCATCCCCATTCTTATAATATTCATGACAATAAACAGCACTTTGTTAAATCTAATTTTCGCTTTATAAGGTTTCTCGGAGAGTCTAAAAATATCAAAATCAGATATCTTAAGGACTTATCAAAGATCTTACATTCAGTATTGAAATTTCATAACGGGCAGTATTCATGACGACATGGTCTTCTATCCACAATTACACATTTAGGTTCCCTGTATGCTAGTCAAAGTTGCACAATTTTGATTTCTCTATCGTCACCAGTGTTGCGTAACATTCATTCGCTCTTTACAAAACTCTCACAAGGGACACGTATAAGCCCCACGTTTGAGAATGTTCGAAACGTGACATTAATCTACCGTATTCGGTTAAGCGTAAATGATCGCCGCCTTAAATATAGTCATGTGGCAAAGTCACGTTCTGGGCGTAACGTACAGTTCTTCGGAATTATAGCTAGCTCTTAATATTAAGTTTATCTCATTACGAGCAAGTGGGGATTACCTGATCGAATATTCAGATCGGAAAGTCCGAAATAACAATCTCTTTGACGAAAGTTACTTTCAAAGGAGTTCACTCGAATAAGCTACTACATTTCCAACAGCATATTCGATGATAGTTTTGATTTAACGATTGCAAAAAACCAGTGATTCCAAGTCAATCAGAAAGTGTTGAATTGAATTATTTGATATTCGTATGACTATAATCTTAGTCACATGATTACGCAAGCGTTCTATATATTCCAGATCCAAATTGTGTGACTGTGGCAGATTGCACAAGAAACCTATATGGCAGAATATATTACTAACCTCTCAACTAAGTATTCCAACTAAAAGGTTCCATAACTTTATGATAGAAAGTTTTTGAATATGGACTTCCCTTTTGCTTCCTTTGAGAGGATGGCTAAAGCGGAGTAGAACGTGACCTGATTCTTGCAATTACATTGGTCAAATTTGTATATCAACCAATGAAATTGTAAAAAAACTAGCCTACCCCTTAATTTGGATAAATCTAAAAATATAAATCATGTGACTTATAGTGAATATCAATTTTAACACTTCATCAACATCGTAAACACGTTTGGATGATATTTATAACCCGTTTGGTTATAGTCCTCATCCGCTTTTTTCATTTACCGGATGTCGATCACCGACACCTGTGGGTAAGCATGTTTGGTCAGGGGATGTTTTATTTTTTGCCTAATATTATTTTATTCTTTTGTTTATGCCGAAAAATAGGGTGTTGTCGATCTCTGAACATTTGTAGTGCGTTGCGAAAACAAGAGACATAGGCAGCAAGTACTAACGGATTCGGAAGACATTTGTCCTTTTTACGCTGATCGTCAACGAATCTTATATATGCATGAATCACGCCATATGCATGTTCAAAGGTTTGTGTCTCGAAAAAGATGTGACAACTGTCAAATGAGGCGAAATAGCACAATAGGTAGTGATGAATCGAGGTTTATGATCTTGAGATAAAGACATCCAAAAGTCGACTGTTCAACGTCAAACAGTTGCAAGATTCCTTCTTCCACTAGTGTGTGTGTATGGGGGGGGAGGAGTGTTAATGGGGAAGGGGTTGGTTTCACATGGAAAAGGTAGTCAGTCTTGGGGGGGAAGTGCTACAGGGAGAGCATATCATAACAAGCTCTTCACCAAACATATGTCCCAGTATGTTATTTTATTGCATCTATTCTGGGGCGTCACAAGGTCCTGATCGAAATCCAATCGAGCGTTTACAGATAGCCTTGGAGAAAAACGAGGGAATCGAAAGGAATAACAAGGAACCCTTCTCGAGACTGAAACGTATGTATAAGGGTGCGTCAAAAAGCTAGAGAGAAGGGCTACAATTGAGAAGCAGTATTTTTGAGTGGTGTGATCAACAATTCCGACAAATACGTTTTAGTAGTTTACACTTGCATCGTTATACTGTGCCACCTAGTAGAACGTGGATTAGCATTTTCTATTCTGTGTCATTCAAACGGCTAAATAAGGAACCCATACAACTCGGCATAGTTTACATTATGACGTCAGACGGTGAAATATTAGTAAATATTTAGATGACATAAGCTACATATACAAGTAATTATTGGTACATACTATGTGACATACGGTGTGCGTGTGATTAGAGAACGGCACCAAAAACACTAAAATACTCCACAACATTCTCGCCAAATCGATTATTTAGCCGGGACGATCACTCTCCAAATATCCTAGTCTCATAACCAAAATTTAGTGAACAATTATAAACATTGTTTGGACGATTATTTATTGCACATATTTGTATCACGGATTCGCAGTAATCACCTTATTATTATATTATACTCAGCACTAAGAAAACCCAAGTTCACGATTCGCCAATGAAAAGTCGTTCTCCGCATCGAATAGGTGGGGGTGTGTGAAAAAAAGGGGACGGAGAATCGGCGAGTAGATTGGAAGTACCATTGTATTGGGCATGTATGTGGCTGGTCTACTGAGCAACAAAAGGATGAAAGGAGCCTATAGTGCATAGACATGCTTTTTTGAATGTCAGCAGTACGCTTATTTACTTCCGTAGTAAGCGGTTATTCTTTTTATACATATTAAATTGTGCGCCTTTTCGTCCATATTCGTTTTAGTAAGTATAACAAATCTGCTCGAATTATACCCAGTGCGTTAAGCAATTAATATCATAACAATCGATTATTGCACAATGTCCATCACACAGTGTCACTGACTTGTCGCATCCCCCTTTATACCTCGATAGCAAGCTTTTCCCATCAGTTAAAAGTTTCTTTGCCTGCAAATATTCAACACAGCTCCCAATTATTTAAGCATCACTCGAGAGTACCTAATAACAACCACTGGCATTACTGATTGATACGGCCATATTCAGCGCCGTTCATTCATAGGAAAAGAAAAAAACTCAAGGTAATTAACCATTTATATATACATATGTATTGCCATATAAATGAAGAAGGGTAAAAAAAAAAGTGAGAAAAAAGGAATAAAGTGGGATTTATCGTCCTTCGCCCCCAGGCAAATGTAGTAAATTAGACCAGACTGTCGAAATAGTTCGCTGAGGTGAAATCACAAATGTGTTTTGTACCCACACATACAAACAAGCTGTAGATTATACACCCGAGTTTATACTAGATTTAACTATACCTCTTTTGAGAGCTACTAATAATTGCTCCATTAAGTAGGTGACTAAGACACATTCCAAAAATATTTATATATCCTGGTTTAGTAGTCACATTAACCTCGACAACTGTTCACCTTTCTCATAACTAACCGACAGTTTCCACTATTTTTCCTACTAAACAGCACACCCTAATTCATTCCCCTCTGCTACCCAGTGGCTCGATAACTGTCTCATACAATCCTTCCTATCACAAATAATCCAATACATGACGGAAGTATTGGGATACGTGACCGATGTCATAAAAAACATCAATGCGGGTAACTTAAACTATTGCCAAAACGTCTCCTACCCCGGCGACAATGTCGAACAATTCAAAGAATTCGAGGCTGCAATAAAACAACTCGTCGATCGACAATTATATCTCGAAAAAGAAGCAGCCAAGTATCAAGCACTACTCAGCGAAACCGATTCTGTAATAATAATTAATCCTAAAGATGGCATAACAACCGATAACTCGAGCGAAAGCGACACCCTTAGCTCGGCCTCATCTCCAAGTATAACATCAATCGACTCTACCGACTATTCTAGTGCAAGATTAGTAAATTTACAGACTGATAATACAATTATTTCCAGTACTGGCGATGCTGGCATAGACATATCAAAAATACATCACCTAAGCGCACCCGCTTACCCATCTAATCTATTCGTTGGACAAAAACATCCCTCCTTTCATGACGAACGCGTCTGTCCGATTTGCCTTCACCAGAGTGTAGAAGTAGCACTAGCCGTGACAGCTGGTGACTTTAAGCGTCGCATCACATGTCCATATGCCACAGGCCCAATGTTGACTCTTAAGAACGCAATCAACACCATGGCTGATACTATTGACGGTCTCTTCCTCGAACTCATTCACGTTGCTCGCGAAGTCGGTGATGAAGGAAAATTGGGTGTCAAGGCACAAAACCAAGACTTGGATGGAGCCTGGAAAGAATTTGTGGTTAATTTAAATCTGGTCACTAGTAATCACTCCAAGCAGGTCAGAGACATTGCTGAAGTTTGTACCTCGGTAGCGCGTGGTGATTTGAGCAAAAAAATCACAGTTGAGGTTAAGGGCGAAACTCTGGTTCTCAAGAATACGATAAATACTATGGGTAACGTTTCCAGAAATGGCTTTGCTTGCTGCTGTTTATTTATATATGCTCGCACGGTTACTTACCTAAACCCACATTTCATCTCTACTATAGTTGACCAATTGAATTCGTTTGCATCTGAAGTAACCCGCGTAGCACATGATGTCGGCACAGAGGGTAAACTGGGCGTGCAAGCAGAAGTCCAAGGCGTCGATGGCACATGGAAGATTCTTACTGATAATGTCAATACTATGGCTGCTAATCTTACTGCACAAGTGCGGGATATCGCTAATGTCTCAAAAGCCGTAGCACGCGGTGATCTAAGCAAAAAGATTACGGTAGATGTGAGAGGGGAAATTTTGGATTTGAAAAATACAATTAACACTATGGTTGATCAGGTAAGGATTTGAATGCTGCTTTCCACGATAATAATTTGTGCTGAATACATTATTCTTTGTATTGAACTGTAAACACACCGCTTATTCAACTTGTCTCGTTTACCCTTGTAGCTTCAAACTTTTGCTACAGAAGTGACTCGTGTATCTGTCGAAGTAGGCACAGAAGGGAAATTGGGTGGACAAGCTAACATAAAGGATCTTGGCGGCATATGGAAAGACCTCACGGACAATGTAAATCTTATGGCATCTAATCTTACTGGTCAAGTGCGTGATATTGCTACTGTGTGTAAAGCCGTGGCCTGTGGTGATTTGTCGAGAAAAGTCACCGTACCTGTACAAGGAGAAATATTAGAGTTAAAAGTGACTATAAATACTATGGTATGTTGCAGTTTTTTGTTATGTAATCGTGCAACTTTTTGTTATGTGATCGTGCAACTCCCCCCCAAAGACACGTGTGTTTCTAATACGTCTGTAATGGTTATGGTGTAACAGGTGGAACAATTACGTTTGTTTGCTGCAGAAGTAACACGTGTTGCACGTGAAGTGGGCACTGAGGGTAGACTGGGAGGTCAGGCGGAAGTCCAAGGTGTCGACGGTACATGGAAAATTCTAACGGATAATGTCAATACAATGGCTGCTAATCTCACAGCCCAAGTGCGTGACATTGCAAACGTGTCAAAAGCCGTAGCCCGTGGTGATCTAAGTAAGAAAATTACAGTAGACGTTCGAGGAGAAATTTTGGAATTGAAGAATACTATAAACACTATGGTGGATCAGTTACAAACGTTTGCTACCGAAGTAACTCGTGTATCATTGGAAGTCGGTACGGAGGGCAAATTGGGTGGACAAGCTGTTGTAAAGGACGTCGAGGGTACCTGGAAAATCTTGACAGACAACGTCAATATAATGGCTGCCAATCTTACCACACAAGTACGATCCATTGCTGAAGTTACAACAGCCGTAGCTTGTGGCGATCTGAGCAAAAAAATTATTGTCGATGTCAGAGGTGAAATATTGGAATTAAAGAGTACGGTAAACTCTATGGTGGACCAATTGCGTATGTTTGCAGCTGAAGTAACTCGTGTAGCTCGCGAAGTGGGTACTGAAGGTATTCTAGGTGTACAGGCACACGTTAAAGACGTTGGTGGCACGTGGAAGGAACTCACAGACAACGTAAATACTATGGCATCGAACCTTACAGCTCAAGTACGTGACATTGCTAGTGTATCAAAGGCTGTAGCATGCGGCGATTTAAGCAAGAAGATTACAGTAGACGTTAAGGGAGAAGTATTGGAACTGAAAAATACTATCAATACTATGGTGGATCAGTTACAGACGTTTGCTACTGAAGTAACTCGTGTATCATTGGAAGTCGGTACCGAGGGCAAATTGGGTGGACAAGCTGTTGTAAAGGACGTCGAGGGTACTTGGAAAATCTTGACAGACAACGTCAATATAATGGCCGCCAATCTTACCACACAAGTACGATCCATTGCTGAAGTTACAACAGCCGTAGCTTGTGGCGATCTGAGCAAAAAAAT